ATCACTTGAAAAAAACATGGGGGTGCTTAACTTTTTTCCAGGTGTATATATACATTAAGTTGTTTAGTTGAAAACAGACAAAATCTTTTATTCAAAGGATACAGGAAAAAAGTACTATTTGATTCACAACATTATTAGATTTGCTATTTAAAAGACTTTACAACTTTTAACAAAGATAGACAGATATGACATTAAGCAACAAAATTCCCCTCACTATGAAAACTTAATATCTTGCAAGTTTCCATGTTAGCATACAAGATATTTTCTTAAGAATGGAATAAAATTTGAAAAACAACAACATTACTGATCATGTAACAATAAGTCATCAAAATAGCTAGCTTGTAATGCTAGAGATAAAATCAGAACCTCAAACAATACAACAGTATGTCACGATCTACAAGATTATTTTTTGATTTATTGTGTTATCTAATTTATGAATTTTTTGCAGGTGTGACTTGTTGGTGTCAAGAGTATAGAGTAGCACGTAGGAACTGTTCATGAAGGGGTGGTAGTGAACCAACGTTGAGAGAAGAGATATAAAACGTGGGCCAGCGAAGCATAAGCAATCAGAAGGTCGAAGAAAAGCTATGAATAAGAGAAGGTGTATGACTGTGCTGATATATTTGTATGTATTTTGTCTCGGAATATATATGTTGAATTGAAACAAGTGTAGTGCATGCTGTTCATTCATAGTTACCTTTATCGTCAACAAGTCACAGACACTTACTGTAGAAAAATCCACAAAAAGAAACCTGACACAGTATATCCAACTTCAAAATAATACAAACAACTGTTTGCACTGGAACATCAAATTAAATGTAATATCAGTATAAATGGTTTCTTTAAAGAAATGAAATAAAAATCAGTTTCTGGCAATGCAATAAAACTTGCAATTAAATTAGGAAAATTAATAATGGTTACTGTAAATGAATAGTGTGCAAAAAGTACATTAAAAAATCAAATACAGTGCAAAGCAAATGTAAAAATGAATGTATTTGCCCTTTTAAAAAACATCATATATATTTCAACAGCAAATGAACATAAGTGAAAATAAGTGTGAAATTATAACGTTTATTACATGTACTTCAATATTTAATCTTGACAAGTTGCTTGTTCATGTGATCATACATGATTGTATGTCATGTACCATGCACTTAAGTAAATTTGTGCGAGTTAAAAATGATTCTGACAGTATTTTTTGCTTTAGGAATATACATACTACAATGACAGTTTTGAAAGTAGTCATTGAATAGTGCAATTTCCAGTAAAAACCACATGTCTACAACATGGACATCACACAATATACTTATTCTTTTAATTAAATGCACATATGATACGTCTAGTTAACTTCCTAAATATAAAATCACTAGGCAGTCTCTTCAGAAATTTCAATCATGTAACTGAAGATCAAAACTAAAACTCACAACCCAACAAACATAAATACTGACAATGTATATTTGAAGTTTCCCTGCCACCTTCAAAAATGTGCAACAATAAATCCACATGTGTAAAATCTAATATTAAAGCTTAATTTTTATATTTCCAATCATCTCCATGACTATTGATAATCCAAACTTCAATTCACAAGTTTTACTGATCTTTAAATAATGCTGAAAACAACAAGCTGTACTTTGTTATGCAGTGTTGAATAATTTTTATATCAAAACCATTTTGAATAAGCAAATCACGTGACAACCACAGCTGACAAAGTCATACTAGAGTAGCATGTGTCAGAACTCATCTAGACATTTTTTAGCATTTTGTAGGTAGTGTGATGCCATAGAAAACTGATCATATTTGGAATGGTACATAACAGCCTTTCCGACACAAAGTAGTCACACACACTCAGATCATAAAAACAGGTTCAGATCACATTTTAGAATTTGTAGGATTGGAATATTCTTTGTATGTATTTGCATTTAAAAAAAAAAAAAGGAAATATGGATCAACTTTAAAATCCAGGACCATCCAGAAAGAAAACTAAAACAAGTTGTACTTTATCTATGGTAAACAAAATACAGCATCTTATGGCAACATAAATTATAATATTGTGGCAATGCTACAAAGATATTTTAATATAACATTTTCAACATTTGCATTCATAATGCTGTCCTGGTTATATAAATAAAAACATTGTAAGTACTGGATACTTTAATCTCTAACCAACTCTGTGATTCTGAAATTAAAAAAAAACAGTCTGCTTTCATAAATGACATCTACTTACACTAAGAAGTCAATAAATATTTTAAAACCATCAGTATAATTTTTGAACAGACAAAATTCAGAATAAATCTTAAGAAGTAACATTTTCTTTGTTTATTTTATTCTACTTACAATCAGTTTTCAGTTAACATTATTTTTTGTATTTTACTTTATATACTTTTCTTTTAATAGCATATCTGTAGTAAACCTAAAAAAGATTTTAGTCTAAAAAAATACTATATATCATAACAAAGCTTTAAGCCTAGAACATTATAGGGTATTATACTATACATACATATGTAACTGGATTTCATCCACAATAAAGAAATAAAAAATTGTTGCAAGAAGTCACAAGATCACAACAAAGTTTTGTTTAAGACAGATGTGTCTAAACATCTTGCTCCATTGTCCCTTTGATGCTTACTACATGCAAATACACATTTATTTATTTCAGTTGAAATGATATTTCAATAGCTTTTTTACATTATCCAAAAGTTTACCGTCTTGCTGTGTTTTTAGTTATTTCTGTGTATCATATCTAGTTATTTGACTAATAAAAATAAAGATTTATAATCAAGTGATGGGTCATGTAATACAACTGTGTTAGGTCAAATATTACTCAATAATTTCCTTCCAAAAGAAATATTACTCATCATTAAAAACTTTAAATTTTGTAACTTCACAATTTATGAAGTTTTGGAAATTTGGGTCCACTTGCTAGGCTTTACTTATAACTACAACTTCAGTAATAAACACAGTGCAACCTTGTGCCTGGATATAATCTTCAGATGCTCTATCTACTTGTATATTTACTTACACAAAATGTTAAGGCTTGAGGTAGTAACCTTATTGAAAACATCCAGCATGGTTAGGGCACTTGACTAGCAATCTGACAGTCATGGGTTCGATTCCCCATCCTACCAAACTTGCTCGTCCTTTGGAGGCATTATAATGTGACAATAAATAAGATTAAAAATTAAAAATTGATTGCAAAAAACTAACACCTTGCAAAGTAGTATCTTAGGACAGTCAAATGAGATCCTTACAGCTTTGTCTCAGGCCACAATTTGGCCTAGGTCCAACTCTATGTGCCAGTTTCTTTCTATGATTCCTTCCATTAACCAAAGGCTGTGTTAGTAAATGCCCTATTCCCAATTATGGATATCTTCACAGCAAGTTTCTTGTTTTAGACTATACAATTCACCAAACAAGCTAATTCTGTTCACACACGCTGCGATCCACTGGAGAGATCTGGGGATGTTGGCCACAGTAATCAAAATACAGATGACATTAATATCTCAGACCAAATCATCATCATCATTCTTCCAAAACTAAGTTACAAACTCAACAGGATATGCATGAAGTTCAGAATCCAAGTGTATTTCTAATCAGACAAAACCTTAAAAAACAATCAT